AGCACTTTATCACAAGATATTTCAATTGCTTATTATTCTCCATCCTTAGGTAGGGGTAATTTGATATTATTTTATTCCCAACATTTATCACTAATAAATGAGTGAATGAATGAATGAATGAATGAACATATGGGTGAAAATGTCAGTTGTGATGTAGTTTCAGTAGAGAGGTGGGTGAGAAGCCAGATTCCAAGGCCTAAATAAATGAATGGTGGTAAAGAGAGTCAGGGAGATATCATGAGACAGTTTTTCTTTTGTAAGAAACAAACAAACAAAAAAACCCAAACACACAAATTCTTACAACTGCTGGCTTTAATTGTGGTGTTAAAAAAAAAAAAAGAACTGCCATTGTGTCAGTGAATGTTCTTTCAGAGAGTTACAAGAAAGTCCTGCTACGAATGACATTTCTGTTTATTCTGAGGCTGTCTGTTGACCTAGTGGGGCTTCGGAGAGATTTAGATTACAATAAAAGCCTCTGACAGATATCGATGAAAGCTAGATTAAAACAATAATATACACAGTCAACTGTGGTCCAATGCCAGTTGGAAAGCTCAGAGAACTGGGAACAGCAATCTTTAGGCAGCCAGGTAAAACTAATCTGGGAAAGCTTTAGGAAGGAGATAAATTTAAGCTGTTTTGAAAGGAGACTATTCTAGTCAATTGGCAAAGAGTCTTAAAGCACAGGATTAGTATTTTAATTTGATTACTTGAGGTAATTTGGAGCCACCTTAATGTTCTGAGAAGACTTGGTATAAATGCTATTTGGAAGATGGCTCATTTCAGTAGTTCTTAACTCTGGCTGCATGTTAGAACTACCTGGAAAGCTCTGAAAAATCACGGTGTCCAGGCTGCACCCCAGAAAAATTAAATCTAGAGGTGATACCCAGCCATCAGTGGGGTTTTTGTTTTTTAAAGTTCTCTGGATGATTTCAATAAACAGCCAAAAGTGAGAAGCACTGCTCTCTAAGTGTAAGGGAAATTGCAAGCAAGCGAGAGACTTGAATTAGAAAGGTTAGCAAGGAGGCTGGATATTGGAGCCTGACCTAGCTTTGTGAACAGAGATAAAAGGGGTGAGGCTAAATAAAGTATCTTGCGGGAAAGTTTGGTTGGACTTTGTGATGCATGTCAGCCGCAATTTTTCATAAAGCTATATTCCAGGACCATCACTGCTCTTATTATGATGGGTTAGTTGGAAAATGAGCAGGTAGAACTTGCTTTGCTAAACGTTAGGGCTTTTCCTATTAGCAAACTGCTCCATTTCTGAAGTACCAAGACAGGTCAGAAGAGGCAACACAATCATATTAAAAGTACAATAGAGAAGCGTTTGTTTCCAGTTGAAAGAGGAAATACAGCCAATGATGGATACTCCAGAATTAAGATTCAACATTCAGACTTTAAATTGAGTTTTATGGTTAGGAGATATTGGGCTGTGGTAAAATTATGATCCCTTTGAATAACCTTGAAGGAAATGAAAAGTCAGATCATGAAGAACACCGAAGAGAAGGATTCCCCGTCATTTTCAATCATAACATTCCCCTTCTCTGGAATGCAGAATTTGTAACAGGTATGGGAAGCGGATGGGTGGCGTCTCAGAAACGATGACCTCTCAGAAAGACGGGCTGGCAAGCAATGATGAGGGGCCTCTTAGATCACTTTAAACTTATTCTGGCAAGTGTTATCCTTAAAGTTTAGAGAAAGGGTGGAATGTCATCAAGTGACACTATTATTTATAAAAAGAAGTAGTGTTTTAGAATATAACCTGTATATGGGCATTTGATAAAATATAGACACTGAAAGGAAAAACTTCACCGGCAAGAGCACCCTGAAGAGAAGCAATTGAAGAGAGTTGTGATTTTGTTCAAATCATTTCTGGCTCTGAGAGTGAGGCCGAGTCTTACAACCATGATAAGCCTCCATCTAATAGCTGCTGTCATTTTTTGGAGAACAGACTTGGAACTGTAAATTAAAGATAATTGTTCCTATAGTCCTGCTCCCAAATGCTGCGTCCCTGGCACACGCAGGGAATAGAGAGCTGGCAGGGCTGGTCCTAGCTGTAAGTCTACGTGTTGTGAATTGAGGAGCAGAGATTCTCCTACCTTTCCCTCCCCTAAACTTCCCCAGTTAACTTCATTCTATTTGCAGGGTGTGGGGGTGGAAGGTTAGGACATTGTTTCCCAGAAGACCCTTGAGAAAATAAAAGTCCGCTATACAGGATCAGGAACCCACCCAGACATGATGTCCATCCACTCTGCCCCAGAGGAGCTCAGGGGACTAGCTGGGTAGGAGGGGCATGTGGTGAGGTTGGGAGTCAGAAGAGACTACAAGTTCACAGGCCTGAGCAGGGTGCAGCAGGAATGAGCCACTGGGTATCCTGTGGAAAGTGAATGGGCCTGGAAATAACAAGGAGGAAAACGAAAGGTTTGCTGATTCTCTGAGAAGAGAAACCTGTCTCCCACTCTGCCTCTGCCTCGCCTCACTCACTCTTGGGCACACAGCCCACTCTACTTCATTTTATCCAGCTGGCCTGACTACAGGAAAGGGGGTGCAACATGTGCCCAAAGTTACTCTGTACCCCTTAGTAGCTTCAGGTCTCCCGAAGTGCTTCTAATTTTCCTTCCTTGGGTTTGCTGTTCCAGGAAAGGAGGTTCTACATTAATACTCCACAAACTCCCCCTGAATGTTGGTTTGTAAAATTAATGATCCTGATGGAAAAGTAAACTAATCTTTGATGCTTGGTTGAGGCTGAGGAGAAAAATCACTGTTTGGGGGGACTGGACCTGCTTGGTACACCTCATCCATAGTATTCGCCCCTTCCCTTCCATGCTAACCCCTCTCACAGAGAAGGGGGACAGCATGAGTATAGCTTGAAACTCCATCACTGAATCCAGTGGGCCATGATGCGTTCACTCATTCTGCAGACATTTATCAAACGCCTGGTTTGTGCAGGACTGTGCCTACCACGTGCCTGAGTGAAGCCAGGAAAGGCTGCATACTGGAGGTCACCTGAAGTGATATTCCTTACAGGTCAAGTATTACTTGCACTGTGTCCCTTCACAGTTTGAAAAGACTGCAGTAAACATTTTGTAAAATTGAAATAACATCCTCATAGCTTCTTCGATTTTAGGAAGAAACAGCTTTTTGGAAACCCAGCCCAAGGTCTGAGGGTTCACAGAGATCTTTTTGGATTAGGGAGATGCTATGGGAAGTGGAAACTATCTCGTGAACTTGCTGTGTTTTTCTAGCCAGAGCCTCTGCTGCACTGCATTGCTCAGTTCCTTTCAACTGAAAAATTAAATCTGCACTCCTGTCAAATGTGTCATCTGCACACCGGACACTCATCACAGTTCATCATACTCCAGGCAGAGTCAAGGTGAAAGGATGGCACAGTCCCCCTTTCTGAGGTCCGGGAAGTCCAGATATTTTGGAGGAGCTGAACAACTGGTGTCCTGGGAGTGTCCGGCAAAGCCGGCTCTGGGAGTTCGGTGCTATGAAAAGAGCCAGTGTCCGTCCATTTCCTCGGGTGTGAATCACACTCCCCGGTTGGGCCTTTGGGAGAAAATTCATGAAGGACATCGTCAGCATGTAGAACCTGCCAAATACACATCAAAACCAGGAGATTTGTGAAGGGGGAGAAAGGAGATTTTCCAGAGGCTTTTCTCGGAGCTCTATTTATCCTTCGTGCCCCCAGGCTGCGTCCTTTGAATGTAAACTCTTGGAAAGGGCAGGGAGGAGCCTCTTTTATGTCCCTTGAAGTATCTTGCCCATCAGTAAACGCTGAATGACAGCGGCAATTTCGGCCTGGAAGACGGGGCGCGGACTGGGTCTGGCTGAGCTCCACGCGGGCGCGGCTCGGGGCCAGGACCGGGGAGCGCTCGGCAGAGGCCGCAGGCTGCGCAGTCAGGCCCGGGCGCCGGGGGCGCCGTCTGCGGGCGCTCGGAGTAGGGGGGGCTCCACCTGGCCGCCGCGCCGCGGCCGGAGGGGCGGGGCCCGGCTTCCCGGAGGCGGGGGCGCCTCCTCGCGCCCGAGCGCGCGCTCCCCGGCGTCCGGCGCACGCGCGAGGCCGGGAGGGAGCGCGCCCCGGCGGGAGAAGCCGGAGGAGGAGGAGGAGGAGGGCGGCGGAGGGGAGGCTGGCCGCGCGCGCCGTGGCTGCGCGGGCGACCGGAGCCGAGGCGGAGTGGGGAGCGAGGGAGGGGCGGAGGGAGAGGGAGGCGGAGGGGACCGAGAGCCGCAGCTCCAATTCCCAACTCCGAGCCCCGAGTTTGTAGATGGGGCTGCTCGGCGGCTCCTGCGGCTGAAGGAGAGCAGCGGCGGCGGCGGCGGCGCGGAGGCGGCCGAGGTGCGAGCCGGTGAGTTGCCCGGGGCCCCACGTCGCTCGGGTAACGGTCTCGCTGAGCGCCGGGGTCGGGCAGGGGGCGCCCTGTTGCTGGTCGCCGCGCGCCACGCGGGGAC